AACATAAGTAATTTATATCAAAGCAAGCTGCTTTCGGTTGGTCGGGACGGATTGGAAATATGGCCGGTGGCGAGAGAAAGGGGGGTAGTTGTCCTGCACGCAATATATTCTCGGCTGGAGATATAAATTGTGGACAATATTATGACGAAATCCTAAGCTGCAACGGAAGATCGCTCAGGTGCGTGTGGTGCAAAGCAATCTGCAAGTATGAATCGAAGCCGGGTTAGGGCTGCCTGGGTGGCTTGGGGGCGATGACGGGCGATGCGAACCTTGGGATGGGGATAAGCTGAGTTACCTTGAGTTACGTAGAGCAACCTAGGTCCGGAGAGCTTCTGCCAGGATTGATTGCCTGGGTTATATAGAGCTGGACGAGAGCGGATGAGAGCAAGGGGAAGGGAGGAGCATGAAAAAGAAGGAAGAAGAAGAGAAAAAGAAGAGAAGAGAAGCAGAAAAGCAGAAAAGCAGACAAGGAGGAGAATCAAGAAGTGGACGAGAGCTAAAAGGGAGCTTGGGAATGGGCCACGGGTGGAGCTATGGCGATGACAGCAAGAGCTCTGCTTCCACTCACGCGAGTAGTTATGCATCAAATTGTTAGTAGCGAACCCGTAGAAGAAGAAGAATAGTTACATAGTCAAACTAAAGCTGAATATTAAATGATTATCGACGTAATTATTTCCCCAAATTGAAACCCCGGGGGGGTGGGGGACGCATAGTTACATCCGCAGTATGGGGGTGAAATTGGGAGAGCCAAAATGGATGGTTGATGACAGGCCTGGCATGGGTGAAGCACGCTGGCTGTAACGGTGTGGCAGCATCCGACAGCCTTGGAATGATCCAAGCTACTCCAGCCGGCGTGGAAAACCCTCGAGAAGAGGGGGAACGACAGAAGAACCCTAGTCAAGGTGTGGCGACGCGAGAGAGCTGGCGGTGGCCTGGCAGTGGTCCCGGGTGGGAGCTATTCTCCAGCTAGCTGAGTAGCTGGCGTCGAACCCGATGTCTTGCTGCTTAGAGACGGGTTAGCTTCATTGCCTGCATGGCCGACGCCCTTTGACCGCACACGCTGCTGGAGGGGTTCCGGC